AGCTTACTAAGCTCGCCTTATGACATTCAAATACATTATTCTTAAAAATTCACTGAGTAGTCAGCTTGAAAATAATTACAGTGGGATAGCACTGGATATAATCAAGTAGAAAGTTAGAATAAAAGTCACCAGAAATGCTATAGATCAGCTTTGCCACGTGACTTTCAAATTCCCTTCAGCTGTCTCCAGGAAAGTGTTATGTACTGAACTGGTGGACTCCAAAGCTGATCCACTGACTCAACTCCATTAAAACAAAACTCCTTGGACTTCTTGTGTCATGGACAGCTCCTAAGCAACACCTTTTCTCCTATAGCTGGCAGCTGATGTTTTAATGATTTATTTATCCTTTAGAAAAGTGTCCTGTTGGTTGGGGTTGCTCTTGGCAAGCAGCAGTGAACTTGCTCTGGGGCTGGGAATGTTGGGCACAGCTCGGAGCTGAGCAGCAGCCAGAAACATCAGGGTCAGGTTAACTGGATTTTAGATCAAAGTACAGTACACAGTATGCATGAACATAATAAATCAATCCATGAATAAATAAAACAAAGTACATGCACAGTATTTGATTAATTTTACATAGTAATTTCATTTTCAAATGCTACATATGTTCTGCTTTTTATCTGTATTCTTTCTCTGTGATCAGTAGAGTTATTCTACATACCATAAAAACAAAATGCACGGTGATGCAGGCAATTTAAAACTCCAACTTGGAACTTTAGAACCCTCACTGAAAATTGCACTGAAACCCAATACAGATATGTTAAATGAATTGCATTATTTTATTTCAAGGTGTAATGGAGAAACTCATGCAAACATGTTGGACCTGCCCTCTGAGCACAGCTTGCTACATGAACCACATAAACACCTCCTTGCCTTACCTGAAACAAGACTCCAGTTTTGGAGTGTTGGACTAATCCCTCACCACTCTCCAGCCCTGTGTTACAGCAGTAAAGCTGATGGTAGCTGATAGCCTCAGCATCTCACACCAACTAAAAATATACAGTAAACACAGTTTTGCCTTTTTTTTTTTTTTATTTGGGTAAAACTATGGTTTGCACATAAACACCACCAACCAGCTTCATTTGTTTTCATATGGAACCTGTGAATATTTGAAATAAATTAGACTAGTAAATAACTGTCTTAGACATAAGGAACTTTTATGCTATGTGATCTTCCACTACATTGCAATTTAATACAAAGCTATAAAAATAAGACATTGTTTGCCAAATATATTAATTTGGTTGCAAAACTATTGTTTAATTTGAGTTTTAAGTTACATAATAAATTATATGGCTCAGTCAGATTTTGCAAGAAGTTAAAAGATACTATGGATACAAAATAATATCCTCTGATGTTCTGACTATACCAATTCATAGTAATTCCTGGAATTTGGATCAAAGTAACAGCTCAGACAGGGATCATACAAAAGAGTCAAAACTTCCTCATCTTCTTCAGCACTGAGGTGATCTTCACCTGTGTGAAGCTGAGAAAGTAAGAATAAGTCACTCATATTCCCTCAAACATACAACATGGCAATATCTTTCTGTCAGATGTGAGATATTTTCTTTCAAATGTATAATCTTCTGACTTCTGAATTGTTGCCTTCAAGATAACAGCAATTCACTTTTTTATTACACTTCTGAAGACTTGTACTTAGCTGAGGTGAAATGAGTTCAGTTGGAGTTTGCGTAACAACTGGACTTTTCAAAGTCCAGTGGAGCAGTTCATCAAAAGTACCTTTATTAACAGTGAATCAAAGTATTCTTAAATGGTATTTTCCTCTATAACCTTCTTAATAATTTTTTAGCTTGAACAAAGACAGTCGGTGCATACTTAATGTCTGTAAGAATGAAAGAATTTGGATATCTGGTATCCAATATGTCACCGAAAAATCCAGGATAGGTAAATCTGTGCAAAAGATCTTTCAATATCAGAAATGAAAAAAGATTCATCCAGACAATAAAAATTTTAAATCTAACTTGTGTAAAGTTGTATAAAATGCAAGAAAGTTTTCAGGTAACAGAAATTAATCTTTAGTCTAAAATACACTGATAAAGCTCTACAGGCTTTGCTTACAGATGCTTTATATATCATAGCTTCTTTTCTGAACCTGTGTGTCTTTCATATAAGATAAATTTAAGTCATATGATCTACAGCTTTTTGATAGGAGATAATTCACAGTTGAATACAATCTGTATCTTGAATTTCATCATAAATGTTCATCCCATACTCAGCCTGCTAATACCGAGTGCTTTGCATGCCCTAAAGCTCCATGATAAGTAATGGCCTGTTATGCAAATGGCAGTGGTTTCACAACTCTCAGAGTCTATTTACAGCCAGGATCACACAGCAATATATAGGTTACATTATCTGGAGACCAGAAAGTAGGCTGGTGCATTTGATGCATACTGAAGTGTGTACTTTGTCCTTTTAGAATAGATTTCAGTTTTGTGTGCTCAGTAGCATGTAATAAATACCATCAGGAAGAAACTGTCTTTCACTCTAACCAAAGATAAGAAGGTAAAGCCAAATTGTTTCCCTCCAAATTGTTTCCCTTCCTGCTGTGGGTGCTTCATCAGGCCTAGGAAACTAAATGAGGTTAACAGGGATATTTTGTTTGGACAGCTCTTGGGAAAAGTGAGTCAGTGCAGAAAGAAGGTGAAGAACTGCATGTCTTTTTCTCCATTTCAGATCACAGTACGCAAGCAAATGGTGTTCACGCCTCACTCCCTCACACAGCCTTACAATTTCACCTGAAACCATGCTGTTCTTTCCACTGCATTCTTCCTTTTATTATTTTGCTTTTCAGTGCCTATGCATCACTTCAAAATTATTCTCTTTTCTCCCCTAAGCTTAATGTCCCTCCCTTTATACCTTGGAACTGGCCACTCAATATACTCCCTGGTTTGAGTTAGGATAAGAACCCATCAGAGTATACCTCTTTCCCCATGTACCTTGAATTCATACCAAATCAAAATTATATTGCATCCAGAACTTGCTGGATTTATACCTTTATATCAATAATTCCCTGCATGTCTTTTCATGTCACCAAAAGGAGAACTTAGTTTTCTACACCTATCTTGTTTTTAAAGTCAGGCTTTTTTTCTTTTAGCAGCTCACAGGACCCCAAATGTATTATAAGGCATTTTTGGTGTTGCAACAAATTTCCAATGGCAGCATGGAGTATTCAGTTCTGAGCAGACAAATGAAAACACACTGCTGTTCTTCCTAAATAGAACTACTACTTAAATGAAGTGATATTCTTCTGAAGGACTCCAATAGTATGTAATGGTTGTGTTAGAAGGTGTCTTTCTTGTTTCAAGTGGTACATTCTGGGAAACCTGACCATATATAGGAAAAAAGTGCTTGCAACCAAATTAACTGATCAACAGGTTACTTTCAAGGGAAATTTCCATTATTGTTCATGCTGCCAGCACCCACACGTTTGGGGTTGAAGGTGCTCAGAATTGCATGAAAACAACTCTTGGCAGTTTAAATAGCATCTCATGGTGAAAGCAAAATCAAAGCTTTTGTTCTTAAGTCACTAAAAAATTAAATGGTATTTTAAGTGAGAAAATGACTTTAAATGAAAGCTGAGGTCTGTGATATACATTACAGAGGGATGAGTGGTTTTTTTGTTGAGCTGAAAGAAGACTGAAGGTAGCTAGTACCTGTAAATACCTGTTATATTAAATGAAATGCTGTCCCACTGAAATCACGAGAGCTATTATTTTTCTGGAAAAAGACTTGATCAAGATGTCTAAACCCAGACAATAAAGAACAGGGCAGGCATGTGGCAGCTTTTTCTGAACTCAGAAATGAATGTACAAATAACTGTGTTGTTATTTGGATTATGTCAACAGTGTTTACATAGTCACTACAGTCTGGAGAACTAAAATAAATAGTTTTCCTTTTCGCAGGGGAAATTTTCCTGTTCCACAGAAATGTATTTTTATCATATTCTAGATTTTTAACATTAGAAAACATCTTGTAGCAAATCTCACTTTAAGATACATGGATCTTATTCTGATGCTGATGGAAGTGCACTGGATCAGCTGTCAGCAGATGGTGTGGTGGAAACAGCACTGCTGATATTTTCTCCAAGTTGATCCTTGAACGTTGAACTACAGCGCTCAAATCTATCCTGTAATTATGTACTGCAGGGTTACCATATGAGTATTGTCAGCAGCTGTGGCCCAAAAAAAGAAGACTGTGTGGTTCCTAGAGTTTTTATAACCTTATCCCTTGGTCTTAAGACCAAGATACCATAAAGTAAGTTCCAGAGCATTTATAGCTCTGCCACTGTCACTTAATGTGGAGATTTTCTTGTTATGTCAAGATAAACAAATCTATCTATACCTCAGAAACATCAGTGCCCAATAATGGAAAAATCTATGGAAATTTATCATATTTATGAGTCTAAATTTTCCTCTTATTGTAATGGGGAACCTGGTGAATGGTACTTCTCATTGCATCTCACCATTTAACTAATGGATGGTGCAAATGTTAAGAAAGGAACTACAGAGTGAAATGCTTTCTTAGAAAGGAATCACCTTTTCCCCCACAGTTGTGTCAACTTAAATATTTTTTTTTAAATATAAAAACTGAAAAATATTTATTAATTTACTAATACTATACTATTTTTCTTTAAGGATACTTTTAGCTAAAATTCCTATCTGGAATACATTATTGCAGATTTTCAGTGCTGATTCTATGCTTTTGATCCTGTGATACTTGGAACACTTGAAAGCTGCACAGACAGAATAAATAATCTTGGGACACTTCCCAACATGAGAATTAAGTAATTTTCTAATGTGATAATAAAAAATCAAAAAAAAAGGTGAGGCTAAGCAGGGCAGCAGAATTTTCTAGAATGGATTTGAGCATTCAGTTTGTTGTTCAGACCTGGTATATAACTGTCAGTAATGAACCAGCTCCTTTGCCACACAAATAACTGACCTCGAGTGAAGCGAGTAAGGAAGAAAAAGTTTTTCCCAAAGTCCTTGAGATATATCACAGGACACAATTTATTTAGCACCTCTCTCAAAAAGGATACTCCAAACCATCTAGTTGCCATGGTCCATCAGGATATTTCTTAAACCAAGGTATCTAGGAAAATACCCAGATTCTAATGTTTGATGGGGATGATGTCATCTGACAGGCCTTTACCACACAGCACTGCAGCTTCTCTGCTACTTTCATAGAGATGGGTGTCCAGTAGTTCAGAGAAAATCCAAACTGTCCTATCTGGGGAGGGAAGGTCATGGAATGGCTTTGTCATTCTCTCTTATTTCTTGGAGAAATGATCACTTCATTACAGAGGGTTTTTCTGAGTATCTGGAGATAGAAAAGTTTCTGTATGAAGTTATCAAAATTACAAACATCCTACATATAGATGAATCATAATTTGACTGAATGAAGTTACAAAAGTAAAAAGCTAAAATAAACAGCTATGGTATATAGAAAATTACTCTTCTCCAAATATGCAGTCACAGGCACATGATGTAAAATATTTCAACTTAAAGGAAAATGAGTTTAGGAACAATTCACAAAACAGTTTGGAAATTCTAGTGTGGATAACAGGAGAAACAAAAATTCACAGATATACTTATTTTTAAAAGATTTTTAAAGATAATAACACAATTAAAAAATGTACAAAAATTATAGGTTTACTGCAATAAGGCTTGGATTTCATAGTACTAATGAAAAACGTTCTCTGGGGCCTTTCATGAATCTTTATGCAGTGTGCCTATAGCTCAAGGATGACTATTCAATTCTGTTTGGCTTATTTAGGACCCTTAACACAACATATTACTTGAGTCTTCAAAGCAAGGTCCCTTCCTGACAGAAAAATTGTATTTTGCTGTCACAAACAATTACAAGTGTACGTCTGTGAAAATGTTCCAAATTTCAGTGGCATAATTTATTTTAGACAGTAAATCACTGAGATGTCCCCTTGGACAGCCAGAATACAGGGGTCAGATTTATGAGAGCTTCCAGTGAATTCCTAAGACCTGAAGGAAAATGTAAATGTCTATCCTGGAAGTGCCCAAGGCCAGGTTGGACCTCGAGCAGCCTGGTTGAGGGGAAGGTGTCCCTGTCCATGGCAGGGGGGTTGGAACTGCACTCCAAGGTCCTTTTCATCCCAAAGCATTTTATGATACTCTATGATGATGATGATGATTCTTCTACCTTGTTTCCTAAGACAACTGGTAAGAAAAAGGGCATTTGAGGAAAACAAGGTATTTTCTTTATTCTGTTGTTGACTTTCCAATTTCAGTTAAGGTCTTTACCATTCTCTAAGCAAACACCATTAATAAGAGAAAGCCTGTAACTCTGGTGACAACAGTCCTCAGGAAATCACACTAAGATTTCATTTAAAGCTAAATCTGCAGTTTTTCTTCATAAGAGAAATATTTCTTATGCAAGTATAATCATGCCCCTGAATAAGAATGTTTAGTCTTTGTGTTCTTTCTTACCTAAGTTTGCCATCCCCATTAGCATAAATTCCTCATTTTTAGCAAATAAAATGCATTTTTTATGAGTTAATCTGTATAGAGCCAGAACATCAGGAAACAGCAACTGTGTGTTATTCTAGCAAAGGCAAATAATACTCTATGGAAAGCTCTGCTAACTTGAGCTGAGATATAAACAAAGGAACTCGAAACCAAAAAGTAGTAGGATAGAAAACTATGAGAAGGCAGTACCACCACTACTACAGAAAGGACATTTATAAGTGTCTTTCTACCCAGGTTCTTTTCACTGTCTTCCTAAATTCCTACCTGGAGTTCTCTGTTTTGTTGAAGATTCAGTGTTCACTTCTAGTTGTTGGCTTCCAGGAATGATATGGGGACTAGACTCATTTAACCAATCCCTGAAAAATACAAATCAAAATACCATTTATAAAAACAGAGTTTGTGCTTCTTTAGCCTTTTCACCTGTTCTGTTCACTTTAAAATCTGTGGTTTAAGTCAGGTTTGCTTTTCAGATTTCAGCTGCTGTGGCTCTCTCACCACAGGGTGTGCAGGAGGTGTGATCCCTAACACACAGAGTTTTCCTCTGAAGGACCCATCAGTCCTTTTCTGAAGAATAAAGGCTTGGAATGAACAACCTGTGGAGTCAATTTGATTAAAAATCCTTACCCCCCTCTAAAGAAAGATGCTCAAAGACAATCACAAGAAGTGTTTGGTTTGGTTACTACTGACTTGGCAGTGCTTGGTGTCCCTGCAATAGGGTGACACAGAACATGGTGTAACATTCCCTGTCTGGATGGGTGGTGAGTTAGAGCTGAGATGGGAAATGGGTGCCACTAACAGTTTTCTGAAGAGGAAACTCTGGATTGAGTCTGAATGTTGTTGTAGATATAGGGGGAAAACATTCTTAGGCAAATATAATATAAATAATTCTTTATATCTATTTCCTATTGTTATAAAATCTTGCATGTAATAGAAAAAAATTGTTATTGAACATAACATGATTCTACCTACTGGCAAGACAATATAGAGGACTCATCACAGGTGTCCTATATCTATTTTACTTCTGTAAAGAAAAAGATTTTGATAGGAACTTCATCACAGAGGACAGAGCACTTTCTTCTATTGATGGACAAATTATGTCTCTCCTGGACACTAGTGTCATAGCTTCTAAAAATTATTTTCATGCTATCATACATTCACACAAAGGTCAATGTTCCTTTCATGTACCCCACTTTATGAAGCACTATCTTTGATTTTTACAGCTCAGAGAAAGGAAAACAGAACAGCTGTTTTTATTATTATTATTGTCACAGTTTTTTATTTTAAACTGCAGTGCAGTGACAAAGTCACTATGTACTATATACTATAACTCATGTTATAGTATCTATCAGAGAAAGATAGCCCTGGATGTTGTCACAAAGACTTTCTTTGTTCAGGTGACCATGTCTTGTAATTCTTTTCATGTTTGAAATTAATCTCTGCACACTGTGCATAGCTGGCATTTCCTTAAGACCCCATCCTCTCCTCTCCAGCAGTGAAGAGCTGTGAGACATTAAAGCTTCCATATCATCATTAACTAGGCTGAAAAACTGCAACTCAACACTTGAACACAGAATTTGAGGGACCTCACTGGATAGAACCAGATCCAACATTTTTGACCAACCCATTTCCCTGCAAGGCAAGAGGTATGGAAGGGGATAAATTCCCATATGTTTGCTTCAAGCTGATGGGAACAGTGCAGCTCTAAAGAGTAAATTAAACTTGGTTTGGGATTAATTCAATTTATGTCTGGCTGTTCTAACAGCTGGCACAAAAGCATTATGCATGTGAATTTGTGCTACAGGCTGGGCAGATTAGCCAGAGCTGTAGAGGTAACTTCAACATCCATGGTTTTGTCTAAAAGGGATACATTTTTCCAAAGCTTGGCAGATGTCTTTACATTCCAGACTGTAATTGTCTCAACTTGATTGTCCAACACCAAGAAAATAGGTAATACACTTGTATCTTCTGGAAAGCCTTCTGATCTCAGGTACAAGTTACTTCTGTCAGAGAAATCTGGCAAGGCTCAGTCATCTGGTGCAATTGCTAAAATATCCTGACTGCTTTTGTGGGTTTTTTTTAGTTTTTCTCCTGCTTTTGGACTTGTTATTGATTCTATATCATCTCCTGCTGGCATGTGTGCATAATCTGGGTTGAATCTGGGGACAACCACCTATCTGTTTGCAGTCAAAATGGAAAAAACTAATTTTCCGCCTCAGGAAACAGAACAGTTGGTGTAGAAATCCAGCAAGTAGTATGGCAGATTTAAAGGAAGAGATATTGAATTTTCCATTATGTCAAAATGTAAAAAACATGCTTTCAAATTTTCTTACAGCATCATATTATTTTTACATATATGGCCAACTTCTCTTCTGCTGTTCAGCTAAGCCAGTGGGAGTTGGTACAACCAATGCACGGAGCCATGTGCTTGCCTAGACTTCTCATTATTAGCTTTCTGTCACTGTCACCATTTCTGCCTTCCCTGAATGCAGCCAAAGGCTCTTTGTCTGCACCAAAGCTTCAGAAGTTTTTAAGAATAACAGTTAAATGCAGGCTGCTACCCGGTAGCATGGTATAATATATTTTCTGTTCCTGTCCCTTTCATGTGTGGTTTGATCTGCCTGAGAATCAGCCACCATGATCATGAGAATCTGACCACGCTCACAGGATGTGGCTGACAGCACAAAGCAGCAGCTGATTCCCTACAATTGCACTGAAACACAAAGTCAGCAAAGGCAAAGGTGATCTCTCAGAGAAACTGCATCAAATTTAGGGAAGGTAAGGAAGTACTGTGAGTGCTAATCTACACCTCTTCTTCCCAAGGTACCTTTCCTTCCACATTCACTACAGCTTTTGCAAAAGGCAGCAGCTTTTGAGAGCCAGAGAAGAACTAGAAAATTTCTGCTGGGACAACTGCTGAAACAAAAGTGCAAGGAGAGAGAAAGACAGTGCTCACTTCTACAGAGAATTATCTTAGACCAACGAACACAGTTACAAAATATAAAAGCTTTAGAGTACATATGCAGTTCTACCAGTCTGGCATAAACCAGAAGCATGTAAAGAAATGTGTTTTTCAGATGAAACATATATCAGGGAATTCCTAAAGAAAATAGTACCTGTAAAGCATAGAGGATGTTAGCAAGAAGGGAAGAAGGATAGTAAGGTAATTACCTCCAAGGAAAAGAAAGAGGCAATTCACTTAAGAAAACAATGAGGGAACAAGATAATAATATGTTGTTAAACCAGTATTTGTGCTATATTAATAGGTTTTATTACACAGAAAACTGATGAATTTTAGTTTGAAGTCTCATATCTGGAAGATCTGCATGAAATATTAAGTCTAAGGAGTCAGAGATGGGATGATTTTTTGAGTAGCTGGGTGATTTTATCTTTGATTTTATCCTTCATTTATTTGAGTCAAGTATTATATAAAAGTGTTCAGTTTTATATTCATACTTATTTTGATGTATCTCAATAAATGAATGATTACTTTTTCTAGGAGGTGCAAGTGTAAGACCTAATGATTTTGATGGTTCTAGAAGGAGGCAAAGAAGTTTTTTATCAATGACAGAAGCAACAGAGATGTGTTGGAAAGTTTAATATTTCCTATTAAGACAGTCTTGATTCAGTTAATATTTTTTCTCTCAGTGTCCAAGAAAAAGAAATAGTTTTGCTCTTCAACCCCCTCCCATCAAGATGCATAATCATAACATTACAGCATTAGGGTTTCATTGCTGACTTAGGATTACTTTATAGGATAAAACATTTTACACAATATGTATTAAAAACTGGTTTACTACTTCTGTAAGTTATTTAGCAAAGTCTAAATTAACCTCCTAAAATCTTGATGATAATTTTAAAAAAAAAAAATCTCATGAGTGCTGAAATCTTCCTGGTTAAATTACACTAGAGATTAAGTGCTGGCAGTTGGTGGATAAACTTCTGAGGAGTGGGTTTACAGTGGGAATTCTGACAGATGCTGCAGCTGAGCAATCACACCAAACTTTCCATTGTAAAATCTGCAGTTGCTTTGAGGAAGCAACTAAAGCATGGGTGTGTATGTGTAGGACAGAGGGTTTCAGTGAATTTTAGCAAAGCATCCTGAAAAATGTGTTAGACCTTGACAAAAAGGTCAAGGACTAGCATGGACGCAACTTGACAATATTCTGAGAAACACAGGCTGTGGTCTGTGCTCCTGTTTATTGTGGTTTTATTCTGAGTGAATAAAGAATATATATTTTTTTATTAAAGAAGCTAGTTTATCTCATTAAAGCAGAAAAGCTAATCACACATTCTGACTAATTAAAACCACTCTATTTATGCTATCAATGCCTCCAGCTGTAATCAATACAATGAATGTGCAATAAACCATCTAGAGTTTCCTGATAACAGTGTGGAATGCCAAATATTGTATTTTGACATTGTGAGCTGCATTGTAGGAGGGCTCAGAATAGGTTCCACACACACTCAACAGTATCATGTACCTTTAGGGCTTGCACCAAAATTCTTCATTATTCTGAAAGCTACTCTCCACACCAAAATATAATGCAAATATACTCTTGTTACATTTTTCTTAAAAAAATATTACTTAAAAATTATTTAAAAATACTTGCAGATAATAGTGCTCATATAGTGAAATGTCACATGACAGCTAAATTGTGATGGAAAGCAAAAGAATGCTTTTGACTTATGAACATAATTTTCAGTTTTATGACAGTATGTTAAATTTTGCAGAAAAAAAGCCTCCATCAGCAAAGTCTGTTGAGAAAATTAGTGATGCTTTATTAAGTAGCACTTATCAATGACAATGTATTAAAATTATTACCATCAACAGAAATCCTTAGAATCAGAAGTTTTTCACTGAAATCTTAATGAACACCTTTCATACTTTGATTTTTTCACAGATACTTTTGCAGACTGGGAGACTGAGAAAATGTCAAATCACTTAGAATAAAGATTTTTAATATTGCACTGTCTTGAGATAGCATACTTTATTGCATTTCTTTTGGATTGCATTTAATTTGTATTACTTAAATCAATGTGATCATTTAATACACTTTATTAAAAAGATTAAAATGCTTCAAAGTTTTAGTATGATTTTGTCCAACAATCTATACCAAAATTAAAAGGAGTATTTGTTCAGCCTTGTAGTCTACTGCAGAAGTGCAAGGCAAGGGCTCCATTATATCAAATCAGGGAATGAAAAACCAGCATTAGTTTTGTGTCATTACGAACACATCAGATTGACAATCTATTCAGCACCTGAAGGGTACAATCACTAAAAGCACAAAAGATTGTATTTAACTGCATCTACTTAGTGAATCTTTATGAACTCGACAGGAGAATGGACTTGTGCCTG